TGGATGGATGGATGGATGGATGAATGGATGGATAGATGGTTGGATGGATGGATAATAGATGAATTAAGACGTTTCGCTTTCTAATATTCTATTTAAAGCCATCGGCTATGAAAAAAGCCATACCATCTCCGTTTTTTTACCTACAAAATTCTTATCTAACCGTGATATCAGAAACTCATAAGTTATGTCGGTGTTGCTGGAAACACTTATTTGTCTATGTAAAACAAGAAGCTATACTATTATATCAACCTCGCACAAGTATAGATTCAAAGAGCTACAACGTACGTTGCTTATTCTAATTTAGAACAAGCAATCTTTGCTTTCATCAAAACTATACGAGATGTTCTTTAAGCCATCTGGATACAGGAATGGCTTTTATATGAATGAAATAAATGATTGCTTGTTTCATATTTGGTGAACATCAATATATTTGATCATGAGTGCTATTGATCGATATCAAACATCCGGGTAAAAATCAGAGATGAAAAAGCATAAATTTACAGCACTAAAAAAACTTTTAAAGAAAACGAATGCTTACAAAAAATATTTATTAACTTCAAAGCATACATGTTTCTTCCATACATACATTCATTTATTTATTCGTTTTCTTTCTTTCTCTTTTTTCATATTTTTTGTTGTTATTTTAGTTTGCCCGTGGTTTATTTCCAATCTCTTCTTTTTCTTTCTGTCTCTCGTTGTCTTTCTCTCACTCGTCTTTCACAAAGAACTGACATTAAAGACATTCTTTATTTAGACCCAAGAACAAAGTATCAAAGCAAAGACTCAGACTAGTCTTACCTCAAAGATGTACTCCAAATCTACCACTATAGCTAAACCAGAGCCTATCCAACGCTACTGGCTATAATTCTCTTGATAATCAAACTTTAGTGGATCAACCAGATCGACGTTAATCTTCAACGACGTGCTCATGAACAAAATACCTTTCCCACGAAGCAATGCAGTCATCAAAAAAGCCAAGAGTCGCCATATAAGTAAAAATCGTGTTGACATTTCATTCGGGATTATTTGACATAAGCTGGGCATATTTATCTTGTTCAATAAACATCTTGTAATTAAGAGCATTTCATCTGTGGATAATGCTTATTTTCGTATGGCGCGTCAATTAAAACTGGAACAGTTTTGATATTAATTACTAAGTACTATACTTTGATCTACATTAGATAATCAAACGAGGACAGGACTTATATTCAGTTCTAGCCAATCAGAAGCAAGAAACAAAGAAGTCATTTTAGTTGGGTTTCAGTTCCAATCCAACCAGGTCATAGACTAATATCCCATTCACACCTAAACGTGTTTAGTTAAACTATGTTTTCATTAGGAAAAAAATTGAGAAACTAGAAACCTACAATATAATGAAACTTTGTAAAATATTTTCAGAGCTAGACAAAGGATAGTTTACATGCACTATTTCACCAAATATTGTGCAGTGTTCGTAGATAGTTTTCCAAACCTGTTTAGTTAAACCACATGTTTAAGCCTTCGTGTGAATGGGGTAATAGACAGATATACTGAATGTTTGTCGGAATAAAACACGGTCGGTTGAGATCAAATATGCTATTAATTCTACTCTCTGCTGATTGGCTCCGGTTTTCACTGTACGTTGTGATTGGTTATTACTGTAACAGAGGTCCCGGATGGATTTTCTCGTAAGTGACGAATCACTTATATCGGCATTTCAAAGACACAGCTAGGTCGTCCACAATCAATTCATAGACAAAGTAAATAGTAATAGTAATGGATAACATATAAAACCAAGAAAATACATAGTTTAATTGTTTAAGTGAGGTATAAAGTGGGAGCTTAATTGGTTTCGCGTTTATGTGTGATTACTTTTTAGATAAGCTTTTAAAAAGGACATGTTTTTAACCGCTCGTGTGTGGGCTTATGAGATGGGAATCTTAAAATACAATTTTGCTTGGAATCACGAAAAATTATATCGATATAGATGTCAGTTATTAAAACAGCGAGTCAAAAGAGAAAACGAAAACAATTGCTAAAAATTACCACCGTTTTCATTGCTAAGTGCTGATCGAGACTACAGGTCGCGACAGGGAAGTTAGGAATGGACCATTTTTAAAATATTTTTTAGGGGTGGGGGTTGGGCAAAAGCCAAAAAAAATTATGTCCCAAAAAATTCCTGCAGAAAATAAATTGTCCCCCCCCCCCCTCTCAAAATCTAATGGTCCGTCCCTGAATAATTTATTTGATTGAAACAAGTCTATCCTGCGGCGCGATTGCCATATAAGTGAGTGTGAAAGTGGGCTAAATTGGTTGAAGTTATTTAACTGCATAGACTGAACCACTCGACGCATGCGTAACTCTTGCTAGATAATCAGCTGATCCCCATTGACTTGTGTGCAGTGGCAGGTTGACAGAGCAATGACTTAAAGAAAATCTTTACTAATTTGTTTCGTCACCCTAAAAGTCATTCCTTGATTCAAAGGTTGGCGTCAGTTTTGACAGCAAGATATGAAAGCGTGCGTGATACCATCCCGTGCTAAATGGATAATAGTTAAAGTAAGGGGCTGGTCATTATTTGTGGGGCTCGGGGGATTTTTTGTTGCGAAATCATTTCAAGAGGCACTAGCGTTTTTGTCATACTCCCTAGTAGCAGTTGCTACTCTCTCATTTGATAATATGTCACTTGTACACTTACTCCCCTCCAGTTGCCAAAAAAGAACATGTATATTTTCGCATCTCCCCTTCCCTCCCCTCCCCTCCCCTCCCTTTCCCACTCCTCTCCTCCCCTTCCCTCCCCTCCCCTCCAAACAAACGATCACTAACAATGCCTAGATGACCAGCAGTTTTCAAATATCGCAAAATAAGGAAAACGATTAAACGCGCGCGTCATGAAGAAGAAACATATGGCATAAAGAGATGTCTCCGAAACCTTTCTCATAAAAGTCAAATAATTACCATCAAACCAAGAAAGTGGTAATTAATGTAAAAATGTTTAAATTGATTTTACTTTAATCGCAAAACCAAAAAAAAAAACACGTTAACAAGAAAAGTCCGGTTAAAAATTAATGGTTGGGTTACCTGTGTTGTGGCTGATGCGCTTTCTTTTACAATTTACAGAACCTTTCTTACAAACATCAAGTCCCTATTAAAGCGAAAAAGTGGTCAATTAACTAAAATGACTTAAAAAAACATAATTATATTCGTTAAATTACATCTACGTAAAAATATATTTGAAACAAATAAGTTACGAATTATGGATTGGGTTACCTGTGTCTGCGGCCCAAATCCAAGATGGCGGTTCTTGTAGTCGATAATGGAGCATATGCTGCGAAGATAGGATTCAATAGCTCGGAAACTCCAAGGTAAAACACGATAAAACACATATCAGACCGACCTTATACTATACATTTTAGAATTAAGTGGGAATATATTATTTTGGTCATAACAGAACATGGCAATTTTAAGCTTTTTCGATGCTGACTTTTGACAAGATTTTGACCTGAATTTCACCTGTATTGAAATCGCATTAAAGCTTAAGTCATTTTAACAAAAAAAGGCATATACAAAGAAAGTACTTAACTTTACTGGAGTTTCTGATGATGAGCCCTTCTTAAAACTGTTCCAAGGAGAAAAAACTGGTTTGTATAAATGTATGGTGTGACGGTCAAGGCACGAGCAGAGCTCGAAAGAGCCAATGAAAAGGTGGCAAAAATCGTGGCAAAAATCGTGGTGTATAAAAATTGAATAAAGCTCTTCAAATGAACAAAGGAAGAAAAGGCAGAAGGAAACTAAATATGGGAATTATAGATGAGAGATTTCAACAATTTATTATTCAATTTTTGAGGGAATATATAATATGAATTTCGAGCGCAAAATATACTGCTTCAATCTATTATGTAAATGCGCCTCCCTTGTTTGTTTGTATACATTTTATTATGGTTTCTTTTTATTGGTATATTTATGAATGAGGAAAACGTGTACAGTAAGTAAATAGTACAACATCCATACTGTAACAATCAAATAGCTTCCCATTGTCCTCATGCAAATTATCCAATCCCAACACTTGTAAACTACTACAGTTACTGTAAAATATAGTGCAGTAAAGCTATGAATTTGCAGTAACGTTTCCCATTTCATCGCCTTCATCAGCAAATTCTAACTATTATAGTTTGCTTACATTTTCCATTTTTTCATATTTTTTCTCTCATTTTTTCATGCACAGAGTGATTCCCAATTCCATATTTAAAGCCAAGAGTGAGAGACGAAGAGCTTTCATTGGAGACCAAATAGAAGAATGCAAGGATTTTTCTGGTTTATTTTATCTGCTTCCATTCAATAAAGGCTACCTTGTCAACTGGGATATTGAGAAACAGATATGGGATCACATGTTTGGAAAAGAGGGCTTGCAGGTATGGAGATTACACAAAATTTTTCTAGGCATGAAAATAATTTAAATTTTATTCATAGTTTGAAACATTCTCTATAAAGTCAGAGTATGGCTAAATCACAAATCAAACCCTGAAACATGCAACCTCTGATCAAAGTCTGGGCATAGCTTCGAACTCACAGATCAAACCCTGAAACAACCTCTGGGCTAACTAAAGTCAGGGCATGGCTAACTCCTAGAAAAAAACCCTGAAACAACCTCTGGGCTGATCTAAGTCAGGGCACGGCTAGTCTCACAGATCAAACCCTGAAACAACCTTGAGAAGGATCAAAGTCAGAGCACGGCTAACTAATTCACAGTTAATTGAATTAGAATATAGTTGGTTACGTTTCGCAGAGTGAGGAGAAATGGTGAACCTGTATAGAAACCCCTGAATGAAGGAAGAGAGCTAATAAAACTCTACTCATGATCACTTGCAATAGCATATAAAGTTCATGTACATGACTGAGAGTGTGAAGTATGTACTGAAAGTTATGGACTAAGTTTTTTTCCACTGCAAACTTTCCCATTAATCTTCTTTTTTTTAAACAGGTGAACTTTCAAGAAACAACTTTACTTATAACAGAGCCACAGTTCAACCTCCCTTCTATAAAGGTTCAGTACATTTTATAATTCTGTTCTACATGTATGTTATCTTTACATTTCAATACTAACTACCCACACACAATTATTCTTTAACTTTATTTCACTTGCTACAAAATACAATATTATTTTGCATTTTAAGAGTATCTTTAGCAAAGATGAAGGTATTATGATGATACATGTACAGTAGTATGGTATTTCAATATTTTTTAAATGTTTGTTGTCAACAGGAAGCAATGGATGAAATAATATTTGAAGATTATAACTTCCACGCTCTTTCCAGGTCTTCAGGTAATGGACTCATGTCATATAATTTTTTATGGCACAAAAATTATGATATCTAACGAACCCATCACAGCTCTACTGTTTATCCAATTTATTACTACTTTTCATAGTGTTTACTCTCTAAAATTTTGAACGCCAACAAAAAAAGTTTTTTTTCTTTTCTTTTTTTTAGCTCCACAGCTCAGTGCATACAAGAGCCATCAAGAGGAAACACAAAAGCACTTGGTCTGTTTAGTCATAGATGCAGGATTTTCCTTCACACATATCGTCCCAGTATTTAATGGCAAGATTATCAAAAAAGCTGTCAGAAGGTAATACTTATGAGTAAAATAATATAGTTATATACATATCAAGTTATTACCACTCTTTTCACTGCTACGGGCTGATCAAGACAACAGTCGCAAGAGGGAAATAGGGCAATACACTGCCGCCAATCAGACAATAATATAAAGGTACTGACCAATTTATTTGATTGACGTAATATTTCAAAGCTGACACTGAGGACTGGATGGGATTTCAAGTCTGCGCAATTAGTTCCAGTCCGAGGCACAGCCATAATTAACAAAACCATCTAAAATTGTTTTAGGATAAATGTAGGAGGCAAGCTGTTAACCAATCACCTTAAAGAAATCATTTCCTATCGGTAAGTAATCTCAGTAATTAATCATTTACAGTGGTGTACTTTAAGTTAATAGCTGACATCTGTCAATAATTGACATTTTGGCTGACTGTTAGCCAATGATTCGCCGACACTTGACCAGCACTTTCCTTGGTATTCCATTGGCCGGGTTAGGCTTCACAAATTTGCAACGTCCCCTGTGATTGGTTAGGTTTAGGGGCGGGGTTGGGGAATGATCATTGCTTTCTATTGTTCTACACATGTGTGCCCTCCAATAGGATCACATCTTGCAAATTCGTGAAGGACGACCCATTCCATTTTTTATATCTCTGATAATAGTTGGCTATTCTAATGACAGCTACCCATTTTTTTCTTATTTACTTTAGGCAGCTTCATGTTTTGGATGAGACCTATGTCATAAATCAGGTAATTATTTTGAAGATAGTTAAATAAATCATATTACCAATTATCTAATATGTTTTAAAAAATAAATGGAACAAACTCCTTGAATTTATTTACCTTACTTAATTCATTTCTTTGTTTTGGATGTAGTGTCCTTAATATGTAAATAATTATTTACTTCTTTTTTCTTCTTTTTCTTTTGTTAATTGTATGCGGTTGTTTTAACTTTGTATGTATGCAGTTACAGAATATTATTTGTGAAATAAAAATTGTTTAAAAAATGTTATTAAAAAGACTTTAAAAAGACTCGTAAAAAAATATCTGAGTAATATGAATGTCTGTTGAGTACCTAAATGTACGGTAATTGTCTCAGTCTGTGAGTAATAATTAATAATTATCCCACAACACTTGCATGACAGTTCAATTGTACATTCTATTTTGCTGATGTATGTTTTTTATCTGTTGTAGTTAAAAGAAGACACCTGTTATGTCACAAATCAGTTTTATAAGGATATGGATATTTGCAGGTGACATTGAACACTTTAATATGAAATTTATATTATACAGCCCTTTAATAAATAACCATTGAATCGTACATATATTGATTACCTCCTGGTTAGCTCGGTTGGGCACCAGTCTGCCGCGCGGGAGGTCACGGGTCATGCTGTTTTTGTTTGAAAAAGTTAGACCTTTGCCATGGCTCACTGATGGCAATGTAAAATGGTGTTCCTGTCTCATTCAGAGATGATAAACATAGAGGGCCACAACTTAGTTTACCAGACAAGTTGATAACTGTCATGTCATCCTCTCTAAATAAAAACAATATCATCACAATCATCATCATCGTAATATTATTGTTATTATTGATGTTATTATTTCTATTATTATTATAATAATATAATGATAAATAGAGGATGTTACATGGGCACACGGAGATACGAAATTTATCTTTGAGTGTTGAAAAGATTTCTCACGAGTGAGCGCAGCGAAAATTTTATTTCTTAATTGGACAGCATGGAGTCCTATTACATATACTATTGTTATTTGCAGATTAAAGGGTCAAGAGAATACCATTGTCAGAGATTATGTTTTACCTGATTATAGTCAGATCAAAAGGGGATACATCAAGGTAAGATGTTTTAGACTTTTTCTTGAGAATTCAAAGTCAGATCATGTACTTGATGACCAGTGGACCCTTGTCGATAAATAATAAAAAAATATTTTTTATGTATACACGGTATGCATTAAAGCTAGAAGCTTGTGGGGCCATGTATCCTCCATACACACTCCTTACTACATTAGAATATTCTATATACACAACTCTCAACTTGCATGTTGATTTTTATGGAGGGGGAAAACTGGAGAACCTGGAGAAAACCCTCGTAGCATAGGAGAGAAAAACACATCAAACAAACTCAATTCACATGTTGCGACCGCAGGGCTCAAACCAGCGACCTGTTAGACTCAAAGCGGTAAAAGACGATGCGTTAGCCGTGAACACCACCCATGCTACCCTGATAAAACATCAGCCAACTATTGATGATCAGTCAACACTTCACCAACACTTTAACCTTCCCACTGTCTTAGCTGGCTGGGCAGTGTACTATTATGTGGGAGGTTGTGGCTGGTATGACCAGGTAAAATGGCATTCCCATCTCATTCAGAGAAGTTAAACATATCTAGAGTGGGCCAATGTACCCCCCCCCCCCCCCTAGAATTTTACCTGGTAAAATTGTATATTAATTATTTTGATATTTTTGTTAATTAGCCTTTGGATGAAATGTGGGATTCTTCAAAGAAGAAAGATAATGAACAGGTACTCTATATAATGGAATAACATAACAAATTTTATTCACAGAACCTTTTCCACAAGCCACTATACATGTATTTATCCTACATCAAGTATAATTTTTAATTGATTTCTTATGGTTTGAAATTCGATTTCAGATTCTCAGGATGAATAATGAACGTTTTTCAGTACCTGAGATTTTGTTTCATCCATCTGATATTGGTAAGGCAATTCATCATATTACCAGTACAACCCTGCTCGCTCATTCTGATAAAACCTTTGGAAAAAGTCACATGATAGGGGCTGGGCAGCTTGACGTGAGGGAGCGGAAAAAACATGTCCAGTGCTGTATTTATCAATTTTAGCAGGATTCACATGTATAAGCCTTTTTACAACTCTGTGCTGGGTCCATGTGCATCTTGACCTTGAGCCTAATATTTTTCCATCCAGCCCTCCCACTCAGTCAATAGGTACATACAGTATTGCTTTACATTGATAAGCCTAGTATATTTTGACCTCCTCATGTCTTTTGCAAGCAGTTGATGCTATTAACCAATCCTTTCATTGCTATGAGCTGGTCGAGACAACAGTCCTAACAGGGAAATTGGGCAATACACTTCCATCAATCAAATAATTTGGTCAGTACCTTTATATTCTCTAATTGGCGGCAGTGTATTGCCCTATTTCCCTGTTGCAACACTGTTGTCTTGATCAGCTTGTAGCAGTGAAAAGAGTGGTAAAAAAAGTGCATCATATAATGAACCCCTTAATTAATAATGCCATGCTTTCTATAATAAGACCATGTGCCATTCCCAAAGATTATTTTTTTGTTTACTGATACATAAACTAACCTTTGATGATGATTTTACCAACAGGAATACAAGAAATGGGTATTGCAGAAGCAGTTATCCATTCCATGAGTGCCATTCCTTTAGGTAAGATGATAGCAGTGACATAAAAGAATCTCCTTCTTGGAGATTTGTTCTGACTTCCACAATCCAAGAGAAGCAGGACTTGTCAACAGGGAGGATAACATAGCAGCTGTGTTTTCATAGTTAACTGGCCTAGTGCTTTCTTTCTTTCCCTCCCTCAACATCGATTTGTCCATGGTTTAGAAGTGACACATCAATTTCTTTTCTTCCAGATATGCAACCACATTTCTACATGAACATTCTGCTGACCGGAGGCTGTAGTCTTTTCCCAGGCTTTAAAGAAAGAGTGTAAGTGAACAATCGTACTTTTTTCTGGTTCCATTTTTTTTTTTTTTTTAATTACTATTTCTGTTCTTGATGTCAAAATTTAATTCAAAAATTGCACAGATTCCAAGATGTCCGTTCTCTTGCTCCTTGTGATTTTGATGTGGCTGTCTACCAACCAATCAAGTAAGTTTACAAACTCTATCCTCCATTTAATAGATTATTATTTTTTCTCCCATGGGGAAGTCAGGGAGGGACAAACATGCATAAGAGTTTTTCTCTGTGTTCTCCATTTTTTCTTCCTCCATAAAAATTAACATGAGTTCACTTGAGTTGAGAGTTGTACATTTAGAGAATTGAATGTTGTAGTGAGTTTGAATAAGATTGAGCCATATTGGAAACCAGTTCTGCATACTCTACATTATGCACCTAATTCAAAAAATGTTGTCATTGCCAAAGGCGATATGCAATAGGAGATAGGCGAAAAGCGATAGGAGATAGGTCATTTCAAGATCCAAGAATAGCTGGAACGACTTGTGTTTCTGCTTCTTATTCTCGTCAAGAATATGGACCTTAGTGTTGAGACTGATTCAATGTTGTTTGTATTCAACAAAACGGCATTTCCATGTCAGAATGACCTACCCTATCGCCTTTAACGATGACGTTTTTCGAATTAGGTGTATTTTACTAGAACGGATTGTAGTAGCAGTACCATATTTTCCTTTATCACATACCACAAAGTATACAGCCAATCAGAGCACATTATGTATAAGTGTAACAATTCTACGTGATGTGCAATATTTTCTCATTACCTTGGAATATTCAAAGTTATGAAATGATTTGTCTTTATCGTAGCCCTGTAACCTATGGATGGGATGGAGGTATTGCCTTGTCCAAAACAGAAACATTTACCAAAAAGATGTGTGTTACAAAAGCTGAATATGAAGAACATGGCAAAAATATATGTAAAGAACGGTTCGATTCCTAGTGTTTTTATTGACAAATGTATGATGTGCCATTTGTAAAGACATTTATTAAATGGAAGAGGCATTTTTGAGGAAGTGAAGAGTTTGCAGATAAGCTGATGCTAGTCAATCATGTAGATTATAAAGGCAAAAGCAACAAAATCCACACTGTGTCAGGAAAGACAGTTGAAAACAGGCAGGCAAAGGGGAAGGTGACGAGAGGAGAGTCAAGAGAAAACAAGGCAAATGGAAGATAATATGAAACAAGAGGAGAGGAGAGAGAAAAATGGGAGAGGAAAGTGTATGAGAGGAAAAATGGAAAGGAATCCATGAAGAAAGATACTGGAACTAGAAAGGAATGAATAGGATTCTAATAATGTAAAATACAATATGTACAAATAAATGTAGTTCATTCTTTATCCAAAACAAACCATTTCATTAAAAACATTGATTCATTAATACTGGTATTACCTAATCTTCATATCACTTTCAGTGCTTTTCAACTTTTTCACTATCAAATCTTCTATTTATTTTTACAATTTTAATTTTCCCTTATTTACAACCTCCTAGACTCTTAAGTAAGCATATTTTTAGGCCTCCACGAATCAAGAAATTACTCAGTTGACCAGATCATTGGATCATTGGATCATTGAACATTAGACAATATGCTGTTGCCCGAGAAGCCAAATAAGTACTATAAAAGGCAAATTTGGAAAATATAATTTAAAAAATTCAAATTCTGAAAGATTTTTTCTCCATTTGCTTCTATGAGCTATAGAAATCATATCTGTCCACAAGTTTGTGGTACAAACGGAAATTCTCTTACACACATGTCCTTAGGGGGTACCCCTTAGGGATATCATGCAAGCAAAGCATTACTTAGGATGTCTGAGTAGGAGATAAACTTCCATCTAACATCATTATATCTGACATCTCATTTCTACACGGAAGGAGATGGAAATTCTGTTTTTCCCATCAGCTCACTTGCCTTTGGCCTTGTCTCTTGAGGTCTAAAAAATACAATTATTTATAATGAGCAATAATTATATATGATTGCCTCACAGTTAATTCTTTCTCTTTTAAAAAAGAAAAAAAGGGTCTATTCAAAAAAAAGGGAGTCTATTCAAAAAAAAAAAGGGAGTCTATTCAAAGATGTCAGCCTTCACTTTTCACTTGGGTCGGACGTTTCATGCAAAAAATTGAAATAAAAACTGCTCATAGTGAGTGGAAGCACTTGAGCCAGAAAAAGGAAACCTTCAGTTTCTGACACTTCTGACTGATAATGACCCTGTTTTCCTTTCATTTGAGCTGCTTCCAACTTTGATTCTGATTATGTCACTAGTGAAAACTAGCCTTTAGAGCTCAGAGGATGAAGACAAAAAATATGTCTTATTACAGGAATCCACATGAAGCCTGAGTAAAAATGGGTATTGCTGGTTTGCGATCATTCAAAAGAGAATAAAATAACAAAAGGACATGGCAGCCATGTTGGATGATAAAACGAGAGAGACAAATGATGATTTTTTCCCGAATTCATCGAACACCACAGCTGTGAAAACCATCAATTATCAGTTACCTAAAACAATATTCAAGAAATTCTTTGGCAATTTCTGAACAGCTATCAGGTGGGTAGACCTCACCCCGGAGGATTCTCATCCCTGCAGCTTCTTTTGTGATATCACCATCACAGAGTAGAGGAGGTTGGCCGACCAACATTTCAACAACAGTACAACCTATACTCCTGTGGTAAAAACAGACATCTATAATGGGATAATTGTGGTAGAAATTATTGCTTATCAGGGCCAGGGAGGGGGAGTTCAGAACAGTCAAGACAGAACATTTTGGCATGGCAGTAGCAGTAGTGCACTGTCCCAAACCTCTGGAGTCTCAAGTTTATTTTCTGGTTTTTCTCCAGGTTCTTCAGTTTGCCTCCCTCTGCAAAACTCCAATTCGATCTGTGAGTTAGCCCATGTGCCCTGACTTTGATCAGTCCAGAGGTTCTTTCAGGATTTAATCTATACATGTGAGTTACTCATGCCCTGACTTCATGGATCAGCCCAGAGGTTGTTTCAGGGTTTTATCTGCGAGTTAGGGCAATGCCCTAACATGGATCAGTCCAGAGGTCGTTTCAGGATTCGATCTGTGAGTTAGCCATGCCCTCACTTAGATCAGCCCAGAGGTTGATTTAGGGTTCGACCTGTGAGTTAGCGGTGCCCTGACTTTGATCAGCCCAGAAGTTCGTTTCTGGGTTCAGTCTGTGAGTTAGCCGTGCCCTCACTTAGATCTGCCCAGAGGTTGATTTAGGGTTCGACCTGTGAGTTAGTAGTGCCCTGACTTTGATCAGTCAGGAAGTTCATTTCCGGGTTTGATCTGTGAGAGTTAGCTGTTCCCTGACTTCGATCAGCCTAGAGGTTGTTTCAGGGTACCAATAATATTTGAAGTTTTTGAAAGACAAAAAAAGCAAACCTTACCAGACATCGGTTTTTCTACCACATTTTTCACCTCTCAAATATTCTGGGCTTTGCCAGTAAATCGATGCAAAATTGTCTTTACAAGTCGTGGTGGCTGTCACCAAAGCCTGTCAAAATAATCAGTAGAAATTGCGAAAATATGTTCAGCCTTATGCGTATGAGTAACACATGAAATAATTTGGATTAAAACTTACGATGCAGAAGGGTCGCAAACGTCACTGCGAAAGTGCCTCGCGCGTGCGTTCTGATTGGATGAAGTGCGCGCACTAGCTGGGATCGGTTCGGACGAATCAGTTGTCAAATACATACCGTGAAATTGGCCAGAAAAGCCCTCGAATCATTGGAGAGACCCAACAAACTCTACTCACCTCTGATAACGACCCCAGAAATCAAACCCGACACCCCATTGGTGCACTATCCAAACAACATATATGGCTACGACAACGGTAATATAGGACACCATTACTGTACGAAAACTTCGAATTTGCAGTATGGCTTCCCACTTTAAAAACACATCCACATGAAACACTTGTTTCTGATTGGTTGATTGGTCGTTTTTTTTTTGTTTTTTTTTTTCAAATTTGCAATATTTAAAGGAAATACCACCTTAGTTCTCGAAGAATTAATGAAAAATGCCAGTTGTATTTTGATAAAAGTGGCTTAAAAGCACTCGTGCTCTAAATGCGCATCGTATTTTTCTTTAATTCTCCGAAAACGAAGGTGGTATTTCCTATACATATACGAAAACTGATATAGCTGCAAAAGCACCAGTTGAAATCATTCAAGTCAGGTCTAGTGAGTGTATGGCCTAAATAAGATACTTACATCCATTTTCTTAGAAATCCCAAAATCAGCTATCTTGATGATATTACTGTCATCTATCAAGATATTTCTTGCTGTACGAAAAAAGTATATCAATATTAATATCCATTACTAACTAAAAGACCCTATTACTTTGCATTGGGTGTAAAAGATTTAAACTCGGATCTTTATAAGACTGACCTTTGATGTCTTTATGAATGACTCCATTTTCATGGAGATATTTCACTCCTTGTATGATCTGCCAAGTGAAAAGTCGCGCGTTTGGTTCATCGAAGTGTCCCTCAGGTCGACGCTGTAACTCCGAGTAAAGTGAGCCCTGAAGCAGCATGGTATCAAAATAGGTGAGACTTGAACAAGAACATGTTAAACGTAGTGTGGTTTCGGGGGGGAACGGAAGGAAGGAAGGAAGGAAGGAAGGAAGGAAGAAAAGAACGGACGGACGGACGGACGGACAAAGAAGGGGGATTTAATAAAACTAACAAAAGATGGAAGAACAAATAAAACAAGGCAAGAAGAGGAGAAATCAAAGAAGCAAAGAAGAATCAGTTAAATAGTAAAGACCAAAAACACACGTCACTGTCGCGCAACTCTACTAATTTCGTGTGAGTATACGACCCCTGCAACGTTACTGCAATGACGTGTAACAGTTTTTTTAGATTGTAATTTGATGTAATTACAGAGACAGCACCTTCTCCTCAGTTATATTTTAAGAATGAGTGCCGGGCCGAAGCTTGAACCATGACCTCCCGCACAATAGACCCACCCTCTTACCAATTGAGCTAACCTGTGGTTAAATCTTACCTTTGGAAAATATTCCATGATCATAGCCAAATCGTTTTCGTGCTCCTCCGTCGATAAGTAACTGATAACAAACTCGTGTTTGAGGGTCCTCAAGATCCTGATTTCTTTTTTAAGAGCTTCTGCGCACTAAAAGGGACAACGAAAGAATGGCATTACAGAGGAAAATATATAAAATTATGAAGCTCGTTGTTCTGTTATGTCGTTTTGAAGAAATAGAAAACACGCGCGCGAGCACGAAAGAAGAGTTACAAGAAGCAAGGCACGTAGCGGAGTGCAACACTTTCTCAACACTCGAGTGTTCTGACAATCCCCAAGTGCTTTATAACTTCACACAGTACATCAAGTAAGTTTATTATTATTTTTCTTTTTATTAAATACAAATTAGAGCAGCTAATTACGTTGGATGGGGAAATAGTGAGGAAATAGAAAGTGCGCGCGCGTGCTGTGTGCTCTCATAAAGCACGCGCCCCCAACCAATCAGAGCGCGACATGTGTAACAGTTATTATATATACGCCATGAAGTAAAAGTACTGTCGAACAAACATGTTTATTATTAGAGAGTTTTAGATTGACTTTTTTTCTCCCCGCAAACGGCAAACGTGATTACGTTTTCATAGTTTTCCTGTATTTTACTTTACCTTTTACAAACCTTCTCACCAAGCGCAAATGTTCTTTTGTTTTTCTACTACTTGGACTTTTTTGCGATTCTTTTTCAGTAATTTAAAAGGATTTTTTACTGGTCAACTGACGTTTCACGTTTGCCGTGAACGTAAATCTAAAAATCTCTATTTAAAGCAAGAGTACAGACGCGCAGGATACGGTAGATATTTATTCATACAAAAGTGTCATTCTTGCCTTCTGGACGTGGTCGTCATTGTCTCCAAGATTCACAATCTTGCAAGCAACTTTTTCTCCAGTGTTCTCGTTTTCGTAAAGGAAAACCTAGCAAAATGTCAAAAAAATAGTGTCATATCTTAGATGAATTTATTGACAACAGAGACTTGCCATTGGTCCTTTGCCTATCAGCCATTCTTATTTTCTGGGTGACATAATTTTCAAAAATGAGAATAAAGGTGCAGACACACAGTGTAACATTGCACACAACAAGACTGTTGCAGCGTGTCTATACCTCTGAAACTTGTTGCACGCAACATTGCTTGCAACAAATCTGAAATTGAATCGCGCTCTACTTTTGCAACATTTGCGCAACGAATTTCATCGTGTGAACATTCAAATTGAAATTTCCAGCTAATCATCTTGTACCAAATGTATATCCGCTGACCAAATTTCCTAGCATAGCAGGCTGACACAAGCGATGTTACATGATTTTGTTGCAACGTGTGTCACCCCGATTCAAATTTCTTTTGTGCAATGTTGCGTGCAATGTTGCATCGTGTGACCGCACCTTGAGATGCATGATTACCTTTGCAAATCCTCCGCTTCCAATTATGTTGCGGCGTTTGTACGTCGAGAGCACGTGACAGGATTTTTGGCGGGAAAGGTTTACAGGTACCGACCGGCTTCTCAACAGATGTCCTTCTGACGAAGTCGAAGGCTGTTTCCGTTCCATGGCTGTATCATTAAAATTATCATTGTTATTAGTATAGTTAAAAGCGGGGACAAAGCTACCCGGACTCGAAACAGCTTGAGCAGGATCAAACGGGATGAAACCTTCACCAGAAGGCAGTTGCGAAGGTGAAGGAGTGGCTGATGAAGAACCACTTGAGCTTTGTGAATCGTACGCAACGCTCTTGCTCTCCGATGCCGAACTTTCTAAAGTGTTTTTAGAAACAGTCTTTGGTAAAACGGAAGACGTGCCAAGCGCAGATGGATGTTGGGACTCAGGAACGCTCGTTGGGCTGCCTAGAGGAGGTCTATTTTCCTGTGAAGTGGCAAGAGAAGTCGACATATCCTGACTTGGTTCACTCGAAGAGGGCCTGTAAGAGGGGTAGCCAGTCTGCCCTTGTCTAGTGTCCACTGGGGCCACTGCTTGCCTTTCCTGTCGAGATTCTTTTAGTCTTACATCTCCTAGTCTTCGATTCCTGGATTCATAAACTAAAAGAAAAAAGTAGCTCTCTCATATAATGCATAATGCTGATTCTTTTAGTCTTACATCGCCTACATTATGTCTTCGGTTCCTGGATTCA